AAACCATGGCAACAAATATTTCCGAGGGAACCATTGTGAGTGTCAAGGCTGTGGGGGGGAACAGGTTCGGGCTCTTCAGTGTCATTGACAATGCTCTCAGCAAAGCCAACAACTTCATCTCTATCTTCTCGAGTTTCCCACTAGAGAGAACTGAGAGCTGTACTGAACCAGTCCTTTATGATTTTGTACAGAAAGAGGCACGAGAAACCCATCGTGTTGAAGATCAGATACTCTCCAACTGTCTTTGATTTGGCAGGGATGATAAATCATACTGGGTGAAAATGGGAAACCGGTATGAGATACCAGTAGAAAATATCATGCCAATATGAATGGAAAAATATATGTGTGCTTCCCTCCTCCTTCCTATAGTTCTTCTAGATATAGCCAGTGACCTTGGTAATGCCAACTTGACAAAGAAGTAGAGAATGGAAAGGGAATGGGAATGGGAATAGGAATAGGAATAGGAATAGGAATAGGAATAGGAATAGGAATAGGAATAGGAATAGAATAGAATAGAATGGGAATTTGACTGCGGTGCAAATCACTCTGAGATCAGAACAAGGCACCCAGCTTCAGAACAACTCATGTCCACAAAGCAAGTCAAGAGGGGCACTTGCAAGGACCATGTGGGAAGGCAGCAACCCATCATTGCCTGGAGCAAAAGGGACAAGGGGTGGGATCCCCAAGTTTAGGTCTTCATAATCCATGCAACAAGCCCAGGAGGAATTCAGGATTCATAAGTAATGTAGACAAATCTCTACCCTACATGAGGTTTTCTTGGCAAGATTTGTTCAGAGAGGGGTTGGCATTGTTTTCCTATGAGGCTGAGAAAGTGTTACTTGCCCAAGGTCACTCAGTGGGTTCTCATGGCTAAGCAGGTATTTGAACCCTGGTCTGTAGATCCATAGTCCACCATTCAAACCTGTCAAGTTGCATCATGCATTTAGTTATCTAAGGAATGACATACGGCACACTTCAATAAAAATTGAGGACTTGAGCAAATAAATACTAATGATTTGCATTGCCAGTAAGCCATGGGAATTTTAATGGAATATTTTGTTATGCTTATTTGTTTTTAATGATAAATATTTATTTATGAAATAATAAGTAAATATACATTTCTGGTCAGGGGATTTTCTTAAATAAAGCCCTGAAAAGATTATGCGATATTGCATGTGTTGGTACCTACTATAAAATCATTTGCACACAGTTGCCAGAATGAAAACAGAAGAGGGCTTCTGCCCCTTTCGTGGTTGTAGAAGAGGAGATTTTAGCAGGTCACACAACCAGGTAACAAGCAAAGCCTGGAGAAATTCCATGTTCTACCCGACCATTGAAAGACAAGAGTCTCATCCCTTATATAGTTCCATTTTCAACTCTACATTGTTCACATTCATTCACAGTGTGCATCCCTGTGCAACTCTCAGGGCTGGGGATGGTCCTAAACTGGCAACCCTATTGATAAATGCAAAAAATATATCCAGGGTTTTTAAACACCTATTGTCTGATGAGGAACTCAGTGGAGCTTCGGAAGCTTGCAACATATATATTGTGTCTTATCAGGCGGTTAGCCCAATAAAGGTATCACTGTTTTGTAGATTTTTGATATTATCGTACTGTGAAAAATATAGGTACAGTTAACAGCCCTTCCAAGGAAGTGTTCTTCTGCTGGGATTCCCAACCCACTTGTCTTAAGATCTGGAGAACACACTCCAGGCGTATTTGGTCATCAAATTCGACCCCCTTGCCAAATTTGTGGAGATTTCAGTGCATTTGGGTGTGGGGTGTGTGTGAAGGCAAACCACCATATTTATGTACAGCTTTGGGTGGTTTGGCATGATTTGGGTGCAGAGAATTACCTAAAATCATGCTAAAAAGTGGGAGGGGGCTCCTAGAGCATCAGGAGACTGGGAGGGTCCATTGGGTGTCACAAAGTAGTTTTGGGGGTCACACACAGTCCATGTGCCATACTTCCCCCAGTCCCCTTTTAATGGTTATCTGTGTGCTCTGCTTTATCTTTGTTTTCCATTTGGAAGAACAAAGCTTAAAATCCTGTTGAGTGTTTGCACGTGCGACACTGATGTTCTGCTTCAGGTACAACTGTAACATGGCCAGCTTGGTAGCCAAGCAACACAAAAGACTGGGAGCAAGTACAAAGACATGATTTCAGCAATCTGGGCCTGGGGAACTGAAAGCTTTTAAGCCCAAGCATTCACAGCTCCACTCAGAGGATGGGCTGTTCCTTACCAGATGCACAACCCTGGTCACCAAAAATCATTTGAGCTTGGGGGACCTAGCACAGAACAGAACGTAGCACTCTTTCTTTGGATGGCTGGAGTGGCAAGAAGTGAAATAATTTTCTCCCGGAGAGACTTACTTTCCCTCCAACATTTCACAGATGACAACTGGGATGGGTATAGTTGAGGAACATCAGAGTGTGGTCAAGATGCTAAAAGGTATAAATGAGGAAGAACACATAAGCTAGGCGAGAGTACAGCAGTTTACTTTTTCTGAGCCTCCTGGGAAGGGCAAGAGATAGCAAGGATGTGGGAGAATTTGCAAGGTTTACCCATTCATCTCCAATTAGACACAGGTTAGACTCTTGCATTGTTATAGAAATCAACATCCAAACTTCACCAGAAGCAAAATATTTGAAGATATCTTTGAGACTACATGACATCCATTCATAACATATAAAATGGGCTCTTGGTATTTGCTGGGTTTTGGTTCCAGGACATCCCATGGATATCAAAATCTGTGGATGCTCAAGTCCCATTAAATATAATGGCACAGTAAAATGGTGTTTGTTTTTTTTATAAAATGGCAAAATTGAGGTTTGCTTTTTGGCATCCTTTTTTGGAGGGTTATTTTCAAACTATAGATGGTTGAATCCATGGATGTGCAAGCCATGGGTACAGAGGGGCAACTGTATGCCATATGTAAATCCTAGTGATGGCCCAGCCTTGAACCATATGATGCTTGGGAAGCTATCAGGGTGAACATTCTTTAGATATTGAACATGCCACATTGCTGTTGTTTGTCTTTGATAGTAGTAATCTGATTACATTTTGAATCATGAAATGTTGTCTGTGATGGGGGAGAGTGGGAAGGGGATAATTTACTACTATACTACATAAATTGCTAATAAAATGTAAAAGAAAAAAAGATGGATATATAAATTGATTGACTGATTCCAACCCTTCTCTCTCCCCCTCCTGCTGAGTTAACTGACTGCAAACTACTTTTGCTCTTTGAACTCAGTTTGCACTAATTGAAAGAAGCAGAGGACAAAGAAGGAAAGTGGAAGCAGGAGCAAGAAACTGAGACATGTTAAAAGCAATTGAAAAGGGAGAATGACTTCAGGACTGATCCTGAGAAATCAGGACAGTGGCTGGTATCGAGTGACAGTCCTGAAATCTCAGACTCATAGACTCCAGGTGTACTCCTGTATTCAGCCCTGAGCATAGAGGCTCAAGCTTCAATGGTGGCCAAGAGTGTGTTTGGAATTCATACTAGTATGTCAACTATGCCAGTTCTTGGTAACATTTGACCTGGCCATGGTAATCCATGCCTTAGTTAAAATCCATATGAATTACTGTTACACAATCTATATGTCGCTGCCTTTGAAAAGTGTTCAGACATGTCATTTGGCCCAAACAGCTGCAGCTTGATTCGATTCCAGGACTCCAAGGTTGATTCAGCCTTCCATCCTTTCAGAGGTCTGCAAAATGAGTACTCAGCTTGTTGGAGGCAATTGGCTTACAGACTGTAACTGCTCAGAGAGTGCTGAGTTTACTATGAAGCAATATAGAAATGTAAATGCTATTGCTATTAACTGGGGCTGGTTCCAAGGAGCACACAACTCCTTTCTTGCAATAGCTCCACTGGCTGCTGGTTTGTTCCCAGGGTCCATTAAAAGTTATCCACTGGAGGCTTCTAGCTTGTGTGCAGTGTGTGTCAAGGAATAAGGGAGGGATTGCAGGAGTTTTTCCATTTTAAATATGTGGAGCACAGTAGGCAACACAGAGACAATTCATCACATTCTATCCAGTGCTTTTGTGATGTCTGGAGCTCTTCCCCATCTGAAAAAAGTTTTAAGATTTTAAAAATGGACACTTGCACTGCAGATGACATAATCCACCTTAAAACAACAAGGGCCCTACTGCATATATTGTTTTAATAAATACATTTTTAAAAAAAGATATATGGACATAAACGGCCAGTCACTTTCACCTTTGTCAGGAGCTCAGACAGCTCAGATAGATGTGATGGCCAGGAGTGGTTACTGTCAGCTTCTGCTGTTATGCCAGCTGTGCCGCTTCCTAGATCTAGAAGACTTAAAGATGGCACTGCATGCACTGGTAATCTGAAGGATGGACTTTTACAATGTGCTGTACATTGGGCTACCTTTGTACCAAGTTTGGAAACTCCAGTTAGTTCAAAACACAGCAGCCAGATTGGTTACTGCTACATCCAGGAATGATCATATCATACCAATATTAAAATCAATCCACTGGCAGCCAGTTAGTTTCCAGAAAGATACAAAGTGTTGGTTATTGCCTTTAAAGCCCTACATAGTTTGGGTCCAGATTACCTACAGGATTGCCTGCTCCCCTATATTCCCCCAGGATACTTAGGTCCTCTCTCATTTACTCCAGTCAGCTAAGACTGGGCTGGCTGCTGTCGCAACCACCCCTAGACTGTGGAATGACCTGCCAGAAGAGTCTGACAGCGGAATATGCTGTCCAAATTTTGTGAATTTAAATTATGAATCTTTTACTATGGATTGATTGGTTTAACATGTCTTAGTCTTATTTGTACTTTGAAACTGACATTGTGTGTTTTTTAATTGATGTGCATTTTTAACTGATGCTGTGTGTTTTAACTGATGTGTGTTGTATATTAATCTGTTGTTGTTCCCTGCCTCAATCCATGGGGAGAAGCAGCAAGAAATAAATATTGTTATTGTACACTTTCAAGTTATTTCCAGTTTATGGCAACCCAGGGTGGTGTAGTGGTATGAGTGTTAGACTGTGACTCTGGAGATCAGGATTCAAATCCCTCCTTGGCCATGGAAACCCACTAGCTGACCTTGGGCAGGTCACACTCTCTAAACCTCAGAGGAAGGCAAAGACAAAGCCACGTATGAATAAATCTTGCTGAGAAAATCCAGTGTTAGGTTCTCTTTAGGGTTGTCATAAGTCAAAGTAGACTTGAAGGCACACAACAACAACAACAACAACAACAACAACAACTCCATCACAGGGTTTTCTTGTTCAGAGGGGTTTGCCATTGCCTTCCTCTGATGCTGAGAGAACGTGACTTGCCCAAGATCACAAATTGTGTTTTTGTAGCTGAGTGGTGATCCAAATCCCAGTTTCCTGGAATCAAAGTACCACACTCAAAACACCACACTATGCCAGCTGTCAGCATTGAATGCTTTAATAAATATAATAAATATATTTAACACATTACAAAACACATTAAATGTATTACACAGTATACAATACGCATATACAATATATGATACATTAAATGTATTAATAAACATTGCAAAATTCTCTGCCAGATTGTGGAGACCTGGGTTCAAATCCCAGTTCAGCCATGTAAACCCACTGGGTGACCTTGGGCAAGCCACACAATCTCAGCCTCAGAGGATGGCAACAATGAGATGGACAACTCGCTCTGAAGAAGCTTGCCAAGAAAACCCCATGATAGGTTTGCCATAAGTTGGAAACAACTTGAAGGCACACAGCAACAACAATTTCAGTCTAGTAATATTGAATGGCCTTCTTCAGGGGCTGTTAAAAGTTAAAAGAAAGAAAAGGGACAAATGTACAAAATATGACTTACAATGCAGTTTTAAAGTTTCATTATAAATAATATTTTGCACTTGCATAAGTTTATTTGAGATAATAGGTCTTTTGAAAACTCTGCCCTTTTTCATGCAAATATAATGTAATGTAATAAAACGGATACTACAAATTGTAACTTGTCTCCTCTTATAATTTTGTTGTTTATGTGTTGTCCCTTTTCTTTCTTTTATCTTTTAACAGCTCCCGAAGAAGGCCATTCAATATTACTAGGCCAAAATGTGTTGGGCTAATTGCAAGAATAAGATCATCTTTTCCAACAGCCTGAGACGTGTCTCTTTCTGCTTCCCTACAAATGATGTCACCCGCAGCAAGAGGAAGCAAGGATAAGATTTTCTCGACAAGGTTGGAGAGTTGCTTGCTGCAATGATTTGCAACTGTTGTTCCATATTTTATTTTTAAAGTCTCACAGTTTGGATGATGGTTTACATTCAGGTCAGAGTAATTGCAGAAGAGGTAATAATCTGATCAACATTGCAGCTGAACAGCAACTGAAAAGTGGTAAAAACAAGAAGGCAATTTTACATAGAAAAGCTTTTGGTGCAAGTGGGTGGTTAATTCTTCTCCTGCTAGTGCTTAGAAAGTTACTTTAAAAAAAATAAATAGTTATTGTTCTAAGCTGCCACCCCCCCCCCAAAAAAAAATTGCTACCTTCATGGTTTCCATTTTTAAAAGTAGGCATTTTCTCAAAAAGTAGCAAAACTAGTTACTTGTAGCATCCAAATACTATAAGATGCTAGTTTATGCTGTAAAATATACTATTTCTTGTCCACCTCATTGTTGCTGTAACTCACACATACCGGAGCACCAGCCAGCAAAACAATGCAGCACTTTGTGATTGTCTTCCTCCAATGTTTAGTGAGGCAACACTTCCGTAACTCTAAAATAAACTAGAAAGGTAAATGTTATAGTGCAAAAGGAGCGAAATTATCCGTCATTAAGTTATAGCTATAATGTAACACAACGTCAACATTTCACAGATGAAAACTGGAATAAGTGTGGCTAAAGAACACCACAATCAAGATGGTAGAAGATATTGATGAGGAAGAACACATAAGCTAGGATAGGCTGCAGAAGTTTGCTTTGACCTGATCTTACTGGGAAGGGCAAGACTCTGTCCCATCCTTTTGTCTCTCCTCTGATGAATTAAGTGAGTGCAAAACTACTTCTGCATTTTGAATTCCGTTTTCAGCAACTGAAGTAATCTGAGGGCAAAGGAAGAGACTGGGACATATGAAAAAGTGATGGAAAATTAACTGGGCTGGCCTAATACCCATCTGATCATGGAAGCCCTGGTTAATACTTGAATAGAAGACTGTCAACAAATAGCAGGTGCTGGAGGCTACATTTCAGAGGAAGGAACTGACAAAACCACCTCTGAGTATTCCTTGTTATAGGAAACCCTATAAAATTCATGGGGTCATAAGTAGCTTGAAAGCACACACAGAGAAAGAGGATTAACTAGTGCAGCCCTTACCAAATTGAGATAGTTGCAAGGTATGACATAATAACACTATCGATATTGAATAATGAGACTAGTTACAAGTAACTTTGTTTGTAACTAGTTATTTTCTGGCTTTATCTTCCACCATTAATGCCCTTCCCACCAGCTGCTTTCTACATCAGCCAAAGTTTCAGACATATGTTTGAGCCTATGATGGGAGAAGGTCACTACAGATGAAAAGCCAGTGCTAGGCTAAAAATGTCAGCCTGTCTCCCTCCTGCAATAGCTGCTACAAATCATCCTTCACTCCCACATCTCTACTTCTGGTTGATGGAGACTTGGAAGGTTGGCTTTTGGCCTGTTGTGCAGTGTTTCAAGCCACCCCACCTCCATCCAAATGTGATTTACTCCCAAGCAAGTGTGGGGTATGATTTCAGCTCCAATGAGAAAGCTTGCTGCTCCAGAAGATCAGCACTCCAGAGGGATTCTTGCAAATGCCTGCAAGAATTCACTGAACATGACATCTGATGCCTGCAGAGAGAGAGAGAGAGAGAACATGGGCTTGCTTGGCTGGCTGATTCAGAGCCCATGCGTGCTGAAACAGCTGGCTAGAGAGCTGACAGGCGATGGAGAGACAGCAGGGAGGCAATATCATGAGGTCAATTTCTGGTAGTTTTATGCCAGTTTCTACCCCAATTTCTACCCCAAAAACAGCCTTCAGGGTGTTTTCAGTGTTAGGCATAGGAGTAAAAGTTGTCTTGGATGAGTATTATTAACCATGAATCCCATGAAATTTGGGAGCGCCCCAAAACTGGAGTAGCTTTGCAATCAAAATCCAAACAAAATTGCAGCATCCACAACTGGGTTGCAGACAGCTCAGATGACAATGCCTAGTTAACACGTCTGAATTTCATTTCAGCTTGTATTTAATAAGAATGTAACTATTATTACATTATTTTCACTTTGCCTTTTTTTCATATTAGGGAGTGGGAATGGAGATTCCCCCCCCCCCAATGAATGTGACAAAAAAACCCAAAGCTGCCAACTCATCCATTCAGCACCAGGGCTTTAAATGTTTAGCTCTTCAAAGTCAGAGCTGGAATCTTTGCATACTGTAACATGATTTTATAGCTGAATTCAGGTTGCCAACTCTTCCCTCCCCCCCCCATAGAAAAGGTTCGATGGTCAGTATTCTGTATCAACTACTTTATTAAGTATGTTCTGACCACTGGCAGAACGGACCTCCTTCTCCCCATGCAGCAAACGCCTGGCAAAGTGGACAGAAGCAAGAGGATTGTATCTGCAATCATGGCTGACAATAATGTTACAGTCATCACTAAGGAGCATTGGTGAATACAGAATACTTACAGATGACTGGGAGCCTTGTCATACAAGGCTGTTCTATTACAGTAGCATTGTCTGTAAAAATGAAATTCAATCAGAATTGCTCTCTCTCCTTGTGCACCTTTGGAACCATTTGGAGATTACAGTGTCCATTTGTGCAAAAACCTAATTGTACACAGCATTGGGACTGACTGCCCACTATCTCTTCAAAGACGTTATCCGCACACCTTTTCATTGTTCAGCACACATGCATGCACACATGCCCTCTCTCACACACACACACAAATGCCCCCCGCCCACAGAAATATAAATGAAATGAAAAATCTTACCTTTAGAAAGGCCTTTTTTCCCTTTGTAGTGGGAGGGATTTCTGATTGAGATAGATGAGACTTCCCAAACTAGTCACTGACAGAGGAAAGTTAGCAGCTAGTGATCTGTCCATCGATCTATCCCTGGTTTTCATTTGGCAGCAATTGGCATGTCTGAAGGAAGAGGCAGAGAGTTAACAAAATAAATGCTTTTTTAAACTGTAAGACTCTTGCCTTTTCCTCTTACATTTTCAGGCATGTGTGTCTAAGAGAGAAGAGGGAGGAAAATTAGGGTATTAGCACATCATTATATTACTGTAGAAACCGAGAGATTCTTGGATGGAGATGGAGGGCTGGAAAAAGAGACGGAGAGCAGAAAATCTGACTGTAATGTCAACCCCTTCTCCTTTCCCTATGCAAACCATGCCCACTGACCAACCCAAATCACTCTAACAGTCCAATTGAACTTTTGCACAGGAAATGATAGCACACCAGATGTGGAAAAGGAGGTCATTGATGGATATTAATTTTTTTGTGCCAATAAAAATAAGCATCTTTAAAATAGTCTCTCACAGGAGGAGAAGAGCAATGTCACACAGTGAGCCCCAACCAAAGGCACTGTAAATCCGCTGCAAATGTGAT